TATATATATATATATATATATATATATATATATATATATATATATAATAACATATACGTATATGTATATGTATGTATGAATGAATAAATATATATATATATATATGTGTGTGTGTGTGTTCATAAATATATATTAATAGTCTTAGGTATGTGTATATGCATGTGCGTAAGTACACATTTATATATTACAGTGTTTTTTTTTCACTTACATTGATATTTGTGTTTGTATTTGCGTATATCCGTATACATCTTTATGCATGTCGACATGTATAAGTATATATATATATATGTGTGTGTGTGTATCAATGTATCTATGTATCTATGTATCTATGTACGTATTTATATATATCTGTATATATATATATGTGTGTGTGTGTGTATCTATGTATCTATGTACGTATTTATATATATCTGTATATATATATATATATATGTGTGTGTGTATGTATCTATGTATCTATGTATCTATTTACGTATTTATATATATCTGTATATATATATGTGTGTGTGTGTTATTTGATATACAATGATATTGTAGATATAGATTTAGATTTTGATATTTTCAGTTATTTACATATATAGAGTGAAATGTTTTTAGATCTGGAATTAGATATGTGCATATACATATATAAATTGATGGATTCATATGAATAACTGGAAATAGGGAGGAAAGACCAAACAGGTGTTTCTGTAATTCACTTTTACGTATGATTAAATATTATTATTTCACGGGATCATTTTTCTATACTTAATTCACCCGTTCCATTGGTTAATTTCGTTCGTAGTTCATTGTGAACGGTTCCGATACATGCCAAATATGTACATGATATACGTATTGAAGGATATCATATTCTGACACTTACCTATAGTCACATATATATACCCATACGAATTCGTTAATCTTCATAAAGTACAATTTATAGGGTATTTTTATCTCTTAACAAATATAGATTTGCGTATATTTTTTAAAAATGTATCAGAACTTATTTTAACTCATGTCCAAATCGTGTTTGTGGTACTTTAGAGGTTTTCAAATTTTCTCCTCTGTATTTTATGAACACAGATATGTAAATGTATAGTTATATATATATATATATATATATATATATATGTTATATATTATATATCGTCATGTACTCATACTTATACTTATACTCATATGTACGTATATATATATATACGACCCTATGTATGTATATATAACCCTGAATGAGAACGTTTCATCGCCAGTTAAAAGTTTTCAACTCCACATACTCGCGCGGCTGTGAGAAAATCGTTCCTTATTCTCAAACTTGCATGTCGATATTCCAGACCTTTATGAATTATGGTTATTCACTATAATTGTATCAAAGTCACATTTCGTGACGGAGAACCCGAATGCGCTTTAGAGGTCCTGCGATGTTCAAAGCAATTAAGTATGCACCAAACGATGCTAGCTGTGGTTGATCTGCAAGAGTCAAATTCTAGTGTCGTTTAGAGAACTATATCAGAAACTCAAGTAGCGCCAGATTAGATGTGTCGATGGTGGTGATTACTTTCTGTTTGATATTTAAAGGAGTTCAACCTATATTTTATAGAGGACAATCTGACAGACGTCTATTAACGATTTACGAGCCATTTTCGCAACAACAACAAAATTACCCGATTTAGGAGCTCTATTTGCTAATTATTATTTGCCTTTTTGCACTCAGATTTCGTGGCCATGAGTGAAGGAGGGGCTCCGAAAACAGCCCCAGCGGAGCAATCCGCCCCCAAAGATACAAATCAGGTGCCCAGAAAAGGCAATGATGGCTCACCTACCAAAAATGTGAAGGCGGGTGCTGCACCCCCTACCAATCCATGGGCCAGGAAGGTATGTGGAACGACTGATGTGCTGTTGACTATATATATATATATATTCAGATAATATATATACATATATGGGAGCATCCGTGTATAAGATAACTAGTGTGTATGCGTATACCCTAAGCATAACTGATCTTGTTTTGTACCTGTACGTGAATATAGACTGTACGTGTATGCAGGTGCATGTAGATGGAGGACTCGATTGTGAATGTGAATGCAGTTTTACTTATTAATATCCCATATGCTGCTGCATATGTCTCTTGTCAAGCCATCACGTACATTCGTGTGTATGCTTCTGTGTGTAGCTATATAAAGTTATAGTATGAATATACACGCACATCTATCTGCTGATATCCAGGCTCTCATCTATTTCAACCTAAACAAAGCATCCCAAACCCATTCTCACCTTACGCATGTACCATATCCTCGCTGCAGGAATTGACTCCCGAGCCCGCCAAAACGGCACCCGCACCTAATAAGGCAGCTGAGACACCGCCGCAAAAGAAATCCGGAGCATCAAGTCCAGCGAAAGTCGCGAAGGATGAAACCCCTCCCACGACAAAGAGTGGACCCAAGCCCTCGTGGAAAAAGCAGAGCAGTCAGGACAACAAGCCCAAGACGGTACGTGACGGGACAGGGCCGGTGGGGACAATCAGTCCAAAATAGAACACTATAGGAAAGGGTAGATAGGATGTAAGTCTAGAAAGGCAAGCTCTAGGGCGTGATATATTTAGGGTGTCAAGCCCGTAGATATGAGTATTGGCCGAAGATAGTCCGAACAGTTGTCCACGAAAGTTGACAAATAGACAGGCTAACCGGCTGAGGTGAATGTGCAGTTTATACGCCTTTTTTTAATTTTTATCAAGCACGTTCCACTATGTAAAAATGTAAGAACGAGCCAAAGAATCTCGTTCTTTTATTCCGATATATGCATTATAACTAGTACGACATATTTTAAGCACAGGCACATGTATACACCTATAATACATATATCTTGTCTCCTGTATGTTAGTACACATATATGGAAAGGCTTTCTGCAGACGGACTGCGACTTTTCACCCTTCAGCCTTCATTTTCACGTTTACACACCCACGAGAATGTGCGTACTTGCGCACCGACACACTTCTCTGGGTCACACTATCTGCCAGTGCAATACACTCTTAACGTATTTATACGTATATGTATGTATGTTTGTGTGTATTTATGTATATGATATATAGATATATTTATCCTAATACTAGACGAACAAGCGTACCTCTGCAACATGCCACGCACATTTGTACCTCGCTTCGGCTCTTGTATCTTCTTACCCCGTGTTTACGATATGTGCATTTGTTCTCTTTTGTCTTCAACCACGAGAACCTAACTGGACGTTCGCTATATATATATATGTGTGTGTGTATGTGTCTTTTTATGTACCTGTATCTATATCTATACCTATGTCTATACAAATTTTTATCTGTACATATATATAGATACAAAATACTGAATTACATACTTATGATTATGTATATGTACACCTTTATCATTCGCAGGCTGTCCTAGACGATCCCGATCTGTGGCCGGATCTTAAGGACGAGCCAGAGACCACCAGCACAACTGAGCCCAAACAGACTGACGCGGGTACTGCGGCAGAGCGTGAGGCTACTCGCAAGGTGCTGTGTGGCGTAGCTGTGCACGAGTATATGTTAATGCTAGGCTGGAAAATGGGTGGTTTTTCACGTGTATCTGTATGCTAAATAGGGAGTTTCATAGTACCACAAAATAGATTTTTACATAGTACCATAATACAGGTGATTTCATAGTACCATAAAATAAGTGGTTTCATAGTACCAAATAGTAGGTAGCTTCATAGTACCATAATAGAAGACCTCGTAGTACCATAATATAGGTGATTTCATAGTACCATGAAATAGGTGGTTTCGTAGTACCATGAAATAATTGATTTCATAGTACCACAAAGTAGGTAGCTTCATAGTACCATAATAGAAGACCTCGTAGTACCATAGTATAGGTGATTTCACAGTACCACAAAATAGGTGGTTTCACAGTACCACAAACAGGTGATTTCATAGTATCATAATATAGGTGATTTCATAGTACCATAAAATAGGTGGTTTCATAGTACCACAAAGTAGGTAGCTTCATAGTACCATAGTTAGAGATCTCATAGTACCATAATATAGGTGATTTCATAGTACCATAAAGTAGGTAGTTTCATAGTACCACAAAGTAGGTGGTTTCATAGTTTTGTGCGAGCTTCTATGGGATTGACTACAGAATGGGTAGTTTGATACGACCATCCGTGTGTGCCAGGCTACAAATTTGTATTTTTCACGTTTATTAGTATGTGATAAGAGTGTATACCTACTAGAAACCGTTTTTGTAGGGTTTTTTACGTGTAGTTGTTTGTGTCGCTGTGTAGGTGTATGCTCGTCTAAATAGATGTGTAGTGGCCTACGCGTGTCCGTGCGAGCTGTGTGGTGTATCTGGCTAGCAACTGTGAAGTTACCTACCGAGTGTATATGCAGTGTAGGGCCACTGACAGGATATATACGTGACTGTAACCGAGTGTTCGTAATACGTACCGTAGGGGTACTCAAAAAAAATGGGACGTGTGGTTGCATACCCAGTATCCGTATACTACTTTCACACACGTGCGCGCAACTATCAAACTCACTTCTCTCGTCACCACTGCCATTGCTGGGTGAGTGTGTGGTCCTAGGCCAAGCAACTACGGTATTGTATACACACATATACATTCATCATATATCATATACATACTACACATGTGCAGTATCATCTTGTGCGTTGCATATATTAACATTTATATTAATATCGTATGCTTTACACCTGTATGTTTAGGCGAACAAAGGTACAAAATGGGTCCCTTTCAAAATTGAGCCGGGCACAGCACCTGCCGGTGGGGCCGACGGCTCAAGCAACGAACAGAATAAAGGCAAAAGCAAATCTCAAAACCACAATTCAGAAAAGGCACAATCCCAAAATAGCCGGGATGGCCAACACAGTAACCATGGCAACCACGGTCACCATCAGAATAATAGCCAGAGTGGGGGCCAAGGTTCGAAAACCCGCAAGAAATCACATGGCAGCAAGGGCGGGCATGGGGTCAGAGCAGCGCACAACAACGTGCCCGTAGGTATAGGTATGTGAGTCTTTGTATGTGCATATGTGTATGTTATGTATATGTATACTTACACGTAGATGTATGTACGTATTTATTTATTTATTTATGTATGCATTTATTTATGTATTTCTGTACTTTATGTACGTATGTATGTATATCATGATCGCACATCCCTATGCTTACAACATGCCATATACCTCCATACACTCATATCCTTCACTGTCTCCTCCTCTTTCTTCTACACTCCCAGACCCTAGCATGGTCGCACATCCCTATGCTTACAACATGCCATATAGCGGTCCCCGGTCAATGGGAGGTCGGCCGTATGAGAATGCTGTCGTACCACCCGCACAGGCGATGGGTGCCACACCACACATGGGGGCGCCAAACATGTACAGTGGGGGGGTCTTTTATCCGCAAAATATGCAGCAGAGTGAGAAGGTGCTTAAGGCTAACCTCAAGAAGCAGATGTAAGTAGTGTGGGGTGCTGTATAGGTAAAGTGAGTTGGCAGGCGTGATAGTGACAGGTGTAAGCTGGTTGTGTGTGTAAGTACGTGCATGGGATATTATGTATGTATGTATAAGTACCACACCACGCCTGGGCCACGGCAGGGGAGGGCAGTGGACATGTACAGAGGTGGTGTATGCTATCCCCAAAATGTGCAGCAGAACGAGCAGGTGCTTATGCTACCCTCACGAAACACAGGACATTATTACGTGGTGTTTCGTTTGTGTATGTAGGCGGCTATGTATGTATGTATGCCCCTGAGAGACGGGTGCCGCACAATAGATGTGCAGAGGGCAGGAAATGGACAACAGAGGCTTTGCTACTTGTACCTAAAAGTACAGTAGTGCTTCCGAGCGGCAAGTAGTTCTAGTCTAGTCTCGCGAACATGTATGTGCGGCAAACATTGTGTGTGTGTTCTATGTAGCTTGTACCAGCATTGGCGGGATGTAGGTAGGTAGGTATGTGGTGATGGATGCCAAACTACACAGGCACACAGATGCTGTGTGCAGCGACCTGCTTTACTAATAAAGTCTGTAGCACATGGAGAAGGTGCGCAATGGGATGAACTATACCTAGGTGTGGAATCAAACCCTAAACCCTGAAAACCCTAAACCCCAAAGGAATACATAGTGACGAGTTGTATATACCCGTGTATCAGCCATCTAATCTCCGCTCAAGCTCACGCTATAAGACATACACTCTCTCTCTCGCTCTTTCTTCTGCAGTGAATACTACTTCAGTACCGAGAACTTGTGCAAAGATCTCTTCCTGAGGCAACAAATGGACAAGAACGGATACCTGCCACTGTCCTTCATTGCGAATTTCAACCGAGTGCGACTCATGACCAACGACCTGAGCATGATTGAGAAGGTGCGGGATATATATATATATGTGTGTGTATGTGTGTGTAGGTATATATATATATATATATAAATGTATACAAAGCCAACAAGTTTAATTAACACTCCATTGTCGCCTATGCTCATTGTCATAACAGAACCTATTAGTTCATGCACACAAAACCCACAAGTTCAACTAACTCTCCTATCTCGCCTATCCCCACAGTCGCTGCGGGGTAGTACGGTGTTAGAGGTGACCAAACAGTACGACATCCGCAAACGCGAAGATGCGCTGCGATGGCCCATTCTGCGCAAGGCGGACGGCAGCTTCCCCTTCACACCCCCAGGCATCCCCGCCAACCCCACGGAGAAGGAGGACTTCCGACGCAAGGTGTGTGAGTGTAGAGTCGGTAGATGCAGTAGGTAGATAGATCGGTGGAACGCGACATCCCCTCTCCTGTACACCTGCCTATTACTAGGGTATGCAGAGCTGGTGGGTTCAAAGCTCACTACCCCGTGTTTTGTTTTTGCGAGTTCATTCGTTATGCTGTTTCATCTACTACATCTTGCATGAATGTGGATCGCGAGGATGGTGTGTGTATGAATACAGGTGTGTCGGCTTGTGTGTGCATTGATAAATTCTGACACTTCTTTTTCGTGGATAAGTGTATGTGTGTATGTATGGCTAGGTGTGTGTTTGTATACGTGCATCTCTGAGCTCACATGTTTATTTATTGTTTATATTATGTCCGCCAGCTCGAGGAAAGCCATAAGAGCGACGACAAGAATGGAGCCGCTCCAAGCAATACGGGCGCTAAGAACGAAGTAAGTTACTCCCATATCTGAGTAAATAACGACATGTGACATATCACACGTGTTTTGAATTGCAGATGTGTTTGGGTACTCTATGTCTGGGCAAATAAACGACATGTGACATATCACACGTGTTTTGAATTGCAGATGTGTTTGGAAATACACCATGGTACAGGTACACGTTGTACCGCTATATCCTTGTACTATCAGGCATGTTACACGTATACACACGTACACGAGTACGGGTCTATTCTTATGCTCACGGATATTCACACGTACGTCTATACACACACAGAGCGATACTAGCAGGACGCAAGAGCAGGAGGATCTGTGGACCGAGGTCAGGCGTGGCAAGAAGAAGAGCATCTCATCTGAGACCAAGAAACCAGCGCAAGGCAGCAAAGGTATGAAAGTCAACACGAGACTCGTTCCATAATATATATATATAGATATATATATATTATGCGATCGTACATTTGACAGTATAATAGTATAATACATGATATGAAAGGTTACAGAGACGTGTATGTGTATATGAAAGGCATTTACACAAGTATATATACTTGTACACTTACAGGGCTATATCAATATTCACCATGTTACCTTTAACTTATTTCAATATTGATTGTAAGTCCCAAATCCTAATTTATTTCCTGGTGGGGTTTTTAACCTTAATGCTCCAGGCCAGAACAAGAACAAAGCCAATTCTCGAGGCGATGTTGACAACAAGGCGCCCGAAGACAGCCAGATCGAGGAATTGGAGTTCGAGTTCGAAGAAGACCTTGAAAAGGCCAATTACGGCGAGGTGAAAGACCGGGGCATGTCTGGTATCAATGACTTTACCGATGATTCTGATCCTGAGTGCGATAGTGAGATTGAAGACGAGGATGTGGATAACATTGTGATTGTCACACAGACACCCCCAGCACCCAAGGGCAAGGGACGCATGGCCGTTATGCAGGAGACTACTAGGTGAGGGTTTTTCATATACATATATGTATATATATATATATTTATAACATGTATGTTTGTATATATATATAACATATATGTATGTGTATATATATATAGCATATATGTATGTGTGTGTGTGTATATATATATAACATATATGTGTATGTGTGTGTGTATATATATATATAACTATTTGTAGTTGCCTACACTTTTCTCTATTATAAGTGGGCTAGATAACCTTATGAATTAGTTTTGTATCGCGTCCGCGTGGATTTATATGTATACTGGTGTGAGTGCTGTACAATTACCTATACGTGATTTTAACTTCCATATCAACGCCTCCGTATTTAAGCTCACATGTATGTGTTTCACTGTGTATGTTATTCAGGATAATGAGTACATTTGTGCCAACGAATGCTGCATGCGCCTCAGGCCTAGCATATGTATAATGTAATGTATCTAGCATGTTTGTAGCCTGTATGACTTGGAATATGTATAACGTACAGCACGTAGCAAATGTATAAAGTATTGTACTTAGCATATGAGTTGCCTATGTTTTTGGCATATGTACAGCACGTAGCATATGTATAAAGTATTGTACTTAGCACATGTGTTGCCTATATTACCTAGCATATGTATAAAGTAATGTACCTAGCATATGTGTTGCCTATATCACTTGGCATATGTATAGCATACAGCACTTAGCATGTGTGTAGCCTGTATCACTTAGCATAGGTATAGTGTATATCACTTAGCGTATGTATAGTGTATTTTACCCGTCACATGTATAGTGTAGTGTACCAAGCATATGGATAACGTATCCAAAGTTTTATTCCTACGATCCATGGCTTACACATACACTGTACGAACGCAGGCATACATGTACACGTCCCACACCGACATCTGTACGTTTAATGTCATACCACTGATGTTTTTTGTCAAATAAACGTTTTGTGCAGATGCATATCTGTTTCCAGTTCACAGTGAATTCTTGATACATTCACTCCCCAAAGCGTGACCATCCATATCCATTTGAAGCATATGGTGTCTCGTCCGGGCATACTCATCCCTTCACACTCTTATGAAACGTATGGGACGCAGGCTTTACATTTGCATCACGCTATTTTATCCACACCTGACGTTTTAAACCACAACACACCTTATTAACATGTCGTTTTGTTCGCTCCGAATGCGCGTCGTTTCGCGTGGCAGCGGCGGCGGTGCTGTGGGCGAACCCGCGGCACAGAAAAAGAAGATCAAAGCCGAGGAATGGGCCGAGATGATCAACATCGGGCTGTACTACTACGAGCAGGACATGTACAAGGTACACAATATTCGTGCTAATGATATATTCATTCAATAGAGAATATGTGTTTATATACATACTTATATATATATCTGTGTATGTGTGGATGGGTGGGTGTGGCTGCTAAATCGCGAACAGATCTTTAACTGTGGCACTATCCAAGGATCAGTCCGAGATCGTACGTGTTATGTAAATGTCTATGCAAGTACATATGTGTGTATATATATATCATGCCACATGTACACTATTTATAAATCACGTGCCTATTGCACACGATATATTATACAACACTATAGCGGTGCTGTGTTGTATGTTCTGTTGTGTCGTCACAGCGAGTTCTACCCATAGTCACCCTATCAGAATCATACTATTATAGTCACGTACACTGTTATAGTTTTAGTAGCCACCTAACCCTTAACCTCAAACGTATCGCACTATTACAGTCACGTACACTGTCCTAGTACGTTCTAGTAGCCACTCAAACCCTGAACTCTAAACGTATCGCACTATTACAGTCACGTACACTGTCCTGGTACGTTCTAGTAGCCACTCAAACCCTGAACTCTAAACGTATCGCACTATAGCAATCACGTACACTGTCCTAGTACCTTCTAGTAGCCACTTAAACCCTGAACTAAACGTATCGCACTATTACAGTCACGTACACTGTCCTAATACCTTCTAGTAGCCACTCAAACCCTAAACCCTGAACTCTAAACGTATCGTACGCATTGCATGCTCTGTCGCAGGACGACTACGTAGGCTCCACCGATGTGACTGAGGGGGCCATTGATATGTCAAGCACAGGCGCACGCACACCACGAACCCCCAAGACTCCCAAGACCCCAGGTATGTATGCGTTCGTGTATATATGTAGGTATCTGGGTATCGTTTGTTTTGTTTTGTTTATTGCCTGTGTGGGGCGGGGTGTACGTATACCTTTGTGGGTGTTTGGGCCTGGTTGTCACCTCGGTGCATATATGTACGCGGCTGTGTGCCTGTGTGGTGACCTGAGCTTCGTTATATCACCTACGTATGCAGCACGAGAGTGTGCGAACACTAGAGACACTCGAGCGCGTCGGTATTGAAGCGTCTGAGAGCATGTGTAGTTACGTGAGCTATGTCCGTTTGTAAGTTGTACGCGCGCATATGCGAGTGTTTGATGTCTAGAGTAGGGTGTGTGTGTATGTATGATGTATGTATGTATGCATGCATTCGTGCATATGATACATGTAGATATCTGATTTTTGTCATATTGTGTGTTTACTGTTGTCGGTGTTGGAGTTTTTTTTCTAATCTCTGCATGTATGCGTCTATGTATGTGTTTAGGAACCCTTGAGGTTTTTCGTTACGTCTGAGTGTGTATAGAGGCATTGTATGTAGATCAGTTCGAGTTGGCGGCTGATTTGGATTGTGTAACTCCAGGTATCTGTAGATATCTTCGTCGTATATGCGTCTTGATTGTATCGATGCTTACGAGTCATAGCCACGGTTGCGTATGTTATAAACGTACTTTATATTACGTATACGTATAGCACACACTATACAATACAGATACAACGATACATACATGCATGAACATATACATGTGGATATGCAGTAGACGACTTGCGCATATGTACTTCTCCCTACGCACATAAACGACTTGTCTGTACCCGCTAAGCATACTTACATTCTATACATCCATTCAAATGGGAGGCATTTGTAGATACAAGCTCACATCTGTATAACCTAACACAACGTGCACGTTATCCCCAGCATACATGCTACACTCGTTATGGCTGGCTCACCCCAGCGGCTCTGTTTGTTCACCAATCCGCACATGGTGACCTCCATACCATGCATCATACGTAGTGTCTATTAAAATTGCATGGTCTCTAATACAGCAACATATGTTTCTTCATGGCCGGTGTGTGCCTACTGCTATTATAAGTAGTGGTCTATGGCTACCTACCAACTTAGTTCTATTCACCACCACAGCAGCTACACAAGCGCCTCCTTTGTCCTACTACTGTGCACATTGTGCTCTAAGCGTACAACTGTGTACTACACACCGTGCATGGTTTGATTTCAACATATATGACTCTAATTCATAGAGGTATATATATATATATAAACCTACATGACTTCATATCAGGTGATATCCTTTCCCAAGCCTGCACCCTCACTCTATCGCATACACCACAATAGGAGTCACCCAGGCGCCCCGTTTCTACCCTGTCAACGAGAAGAGAGACCCCAAAAAGGAGGGCCGCAAGGGCAAGACAAAGTACAGTAGCAACCCACCCAAGGAATCCCATGTGGGTTGGATGATGGCGCCCGTCAATGATGACCAGGTACGTATACGTTTATGCGGTACGTTTGTACGTCAGGTCTGTACGATACCTTTACGTCGTTTACCTACGCTTTCCGTTACGTTTTGCTAATGTTTTGGGCACTATCTACTATCTTTATAGGGTTTTGTTTGTTTACGTTGTAGTTGGGTGCGTGTATAACTTTACCTACCGCATCTCTTACGTTCTTTTGAGCCTGAACTTGCTTACAAACCCCCTTTTGTCAACCCCCTTGCTGGTGGTGAAAAACCTTGGTTTATATAGGACGCAGACGGTACTGATGGCACCAAGAAGATCGGACCGCCTCAACCCATGGCTATGCCAGGCATGACACCCAAGGACGCCTCCGCCATGTCATTCGGCTCATTCCAGGTACCACATTCTATTTATAGCCCTTTTGAATCTATTAATAGCCTTTTTTCAATCTATTTATACCTTTGAATCTATTTTTAGACTGGTATTCCTTGAGGACCCATTGCAAATATGTCAATAGGCCGGTAGTGGTGGTAACTGTTTCATACGTATTGTATTCACTTCGCTTCCTTTCCACCGTTACTGTGGTCTCTGACCATGTCTTGGGTCTTAATATGCCAGTCAATCAGTCCGTCCGTTGTATTGCACAAGAATCACATGTACATATACACATACTTGCACCTAATCCATGCACATATACGCATACTTACACCTATTCCATGTACATATACGCATACCTACACACATCCGATGTACATATACACATACCTACAACCCATCTCATATATATATACACATACCTACACCCATCCCATGTACGTATACACATACCTACACCCATCCCATGTACGTATACACATACCTACACCCATCCCATATATATATACACATACCTACACCCATCCCATATATATATATACATACCTACACCCATCCCATATATATATACACATACCTGCACCCATCCCATATATATACACACATACCTACACCCATCCCATATATATATACACATATCTACACCCATCCCACACATATATACACATACCTACACCCATCCCATGTACGTATACACATACCCACACCCATCCCATGTACATATACACATACCCACACCCATCCCATGTACATATACACATACCCACACCCATCCCATGTACATATACACATACCTATACCTGCGATACGTGCACTGTTCCTGCACATACTGGCCACAAGCATGTCTACTCTTACATCCGCACCCTCTCGCTCTCGAGCATACACTCACAATTCCTTCGGTTCCTGTATATTTCTACATCTTGTCGTTGTTTTAAACAACCTGGCTATGTCTTCGATCTATCTGATTGGCCACGACGGTTCGTATATATACCTACGGCGCTGTACTTACCTACCCACGGCCTTTATCCCCTGCAGCACCCGTCGCACGATCTGCTGCGTAGCGACTGTTTCGTACAAACCAAATACAACAAATACCACGCTAAGTGTCTCCGAGGTATGCTCAGGTGCTCGGTGTATGGTACTAACGAGGTCGAGAATACAACCCGTTAAACGTGTATTCGTTAACAGCCACATGTTTTGCATTTTTTTGTGTACGTACGGCTGCTACTGCAGAGACTTCGACCGATTTCATATACACAGGCGAAAGGAACGGATAGCTAGTCTTTCAGGCTAGCATGTATTGAACCTGTGACTGTGAACGTATTGGATCTGTGTCTGAACGTGAATGTCAGACTAACATGTATTGTATCTGTGTCTGTGAACGTATTGGCTTTGTGTCTGTGAAGTGAATGCCATTCATGCCTTCGTCTGTCAAACTAATAACTTCACGGCTCTAGCTATATCTGGATAGGCGCGCGGCACGGACAGTGTTCGTTTATCTGCGTCTGTACCTACCCTGGCGTTTTATGTACTGATCTATGCACTCCGGATCGGTATCTTTCCGCCTCTTCATCCGGCCCACCCCACTTACCAATCAAAACCGTTCTATTTACATACCTCGTTTTATAAATAGAACGCAAGAAAGCTGGTGCGGGCCACTCGCAGGAGATGAACACGCTGTTCCGTTTCTGGTCGTTTTTCTTGCGTGATCAGTTCAACAAGCGCATGTACCAGGAGTTCAAAACGCTGGCTCTCGAGGACGCGCAGACTGGCTACAGGTAAATGACGGGAATATGCACGATATAATATGTATATATAATTCGATGCTCGGATACATAATTATGTACAAATATCCAATATGCATGCTCTCGAGGACGTACCAAGCGGCTACAGGTAAATGGCAAAGGATTTTTAAATTATATATATGTATATCACGATATATACGTATAAATACATCCCTTGTATATGCTCTCGAGGATGCAGAAACAGACTATAAGTAAACATTGTGGAATATACAAGAATTTATATATGTGAGTGTGTGTGTGTTTGCGTGTTTGTTTGTATATGTATGTGAGTGTGTGTGTATCTGTGTGTGTATGTGCGTGCGTGTGTGCGTGCGTATTTGCTTTTATATGCATATGTATATATATATAAACCTTTTTCACTTTTCACGCCGACGGTCGATGTAGGTACGGATTGGAGTGTCTGTTCCGATTCTACAGTTACGGTTTGGAGAAGAAGTTCCGTCCCGAGATCTTCGCCGATTTCCAGCATGAAACTCTGCAGGACTACAAGAACAGTATGTGTCACCAGTGCTTGACTCTCTCGGATACATGTGTGGGCAACAGCCCCACGGGACCACACAGACACCACGTGTATATAGTATATTGTGTTGCTCTGAAAATTCATGTGTGTAGTTCAGACACTACGTCTATATAGCGAGTGTGTCACTTTGATAATTCGTGTGTGTAGTTGGATGTGTAGTTAGCGAGGTTTAATGTGTGCGAGTGTACGTCCCGTAACTGCTGGTGTAGTACATGACAAAGTGTATAGTGTAGTGAACAATATACTTCTGGTTTGTGTGTTATATGGCAATGTATATAGTGTAGTGGACAATATACTTCTGGCTTGTGTGTCGCCATAGGAATGGACTGGGTGAATGCCTGCGTCGCAAGTGGGTGGCGCTGTTGTATGCCTGTGATCGTCCTGTGATCTCTTTTTAATACAGTCCTAAATGTGTGGTGGGCTTGGGGGTTTGCGTAGATGCACCTAGTCCGGTAGAGTTGGACCGGTCCTCGCCACCCGAACGCACACGCACGCATATACCTAATTTCTCGATTTGTGTATAAGCCAGTACTTGTGTATTGGTTTTGGCGTGCGAATCTTTACCTGTAACGTTCTTTATAGGCACTCATTATATGCGAACTCATCCCATGTGTTACCAGAGTACGTGTACGGACTTGAGAAGTTTTGGGCCTTCATCAAATACCGCAGAGACCCACGACCGGTGGAGATCTGTCCGGAGCTGAAGGTATGTGCATGAAGTGACATTCATGTTTATATGTTTGTATATGGAGGAAGACGTGTATATCTTACCCATACCATGTCCCCATGAAACGCAGCCGCAACATATATGCATACCTGTCCATGATTGGACACAAGCTTGGATGGCCCGAGTATATGCGTTTGTATTTCTATGTGTCACATGTGCATGCATGCACGGCATGTGTGACATATGAGCTATCTCATCGTTAACACTGTGCACGTTGCATATAGCCCCTGTGTATGCAATCGCCTGTCCACGCCATGTGTGAATGCTTATATAAATGTGTACATAATTCTATGTGTATATGCCTATATACATATATATATGTGTGTGTGTGAGAGCATTTTTGTTTATTTATATATATACATATATATATATGTGTGTAAAAAAATTCGTATATTTATTTATATACATATATATATGTGTGTGTGCATGAATGTGTATATTTGTATGCATGTATGTGAATATATGTAGCATATACCTAGGTATATGTGTGCATACCTACATATGGCTCTTGTACTCGCCCCATGCACAGGCGACGTTGGCCAACTTCAAGACTCTGTCGGACTTCAAGGCGGCTGCCAGTGCATTCGAGCAGCAGCGCAAATCCGAGGCCAAGAATAATCCGAAAGCCAAGACACAGGACAAGAAGAAGGGCGGTGATAAGGAGGGCAAGGGCACCAATGAGAAGACAGAGAATAAGGAAAAGGCCGTAGAGGCGGAACGTAAGAAGAGTGAGGCTAAAGCTGTGGATGTTCCGGCTGCTAAGGAGTAGAGTGGCGGAGAGGAGGGTGGCGGAGGGCTCGAAGGCATTGTACATAGTTTTAAAACAGACCAATACGCATATACACATACATATGTTTATATTTATTTATATATATATAGGTATATATTTGTACATATCTGTATATATATATACTTGAATACAAGCTCTCATCTGCACACCGTGGTGCATGTGATGTGACTGTGGTCCGATTGAAGCGAGGACACGAGCACGCGCACACAGTGCAGCCGTTCGGATAGACACAAGGTGTTTACGTACGGTTTGGGGGTACGTATTCTGGGCGAGTATTGGTCTACCAGGGCAGGCGATGCCGAGAAAAGCCGTTTGCGTATGTACTATGCGTTCAACGTACACTCGGCGAGTATTGGTGGACTGGTAGGAGAGGAGTTGAGAATAATAACCACGTGCGTGGTGGAGCGTATAGGCTTGATGCCGACGTTTCTATTGGTTATTAATATGTTTATAGTTTTATTAAAGTCCAAGTTAGGGTCACAAATTGGATTTGTTGTTACGTTGCTCAAATTGTTATTGAAGTCTTAAGTGTCTTGTTTGAGAGGTATGTAATCGGTGGTGTGTTTCCACTAATTTGTTCTATTCAAGTCGTGGAATCCATTGGTTGTTAAGGTGTCTGTAGGGTTGTTATGTATAATATGGGAGGATAATATCTTTGAATTCTATTTATTATCAGGATATATGTAGGTTTGTATTGAATAATATAGACGTCAAAGGTGAGATATATTAATTATTAGGATGTCTGTAGGTTTGCCATGTATAATAAAGGAGGGACAATAATATTGAGGTCGATCTATTGTCAGGTTGTCTGTAGGTTTGTTTTGTATATAATATAATAGGGTCAATATAACATTGAAATCTATTTATAATTACGATGTCTGTAGGATTGTAGTGTATAATATGGGAGGGTCAATATATTTTTGCGGTATATTTATAATCAGGATGTCTGAAGGATTGTAGTGTATAGTATAGGAATAGGCGGGTCGATATATCATTTGAGGTCTATTTAATGTCTGTAGGTTTGTAATGTATAAATGTAGGAGGGTCAATATTGACAAGGTCGATCTATTGATAGTGTACCTGTCGGTTTGTAATGTATGATGTAGGAGGGTCAATATTGACAAGGTCGATCTATTGATAGTGTGCCTGTCGGTTTGTTACGTATAATATATAGGAGGGTCAATATATTCTTGAGGTCTATTTATTTTCAGGATGTCGGTAGGATTGTAGTGTTTGATATAGATGGGTCCATATATCATTAAGGTCTATACATTATCAGGGCGTCTATAGATTTGTAATGTATAATATAGGAGGGTTAACATTATTGAGGTCGATCTATTGTCAGGGTGTCTTTAGGTTTGTTTGTGTTTAAATTTGGGAGGGTCAATGTATTGTTGAGGTCTAGTTATTATCAGGATGTCTGTAGGTTTATAATGTGTAATATAGGAGGGTCATTACTATTGATTGTCAGGGTGTCTGTATTGTGTGCAATAAAGTAGGTTCAATGTATTATTGAAGTCTATTTATTATCGGAATGTCTGTAGGTTTGTTATAAATAATATAGAAGGGTCAATATCAGGGCTATTTAGTATCAGATGTATGTGGGTTTGTTATGTACGATATAGGAGAGTCAATATTATTAAAGTCTTCATTATCAGGATGTCTGTAAGTTATGTATAAATGTAATAGGGTCAATCTTTTTGAGATCTGTTTAATATCGGGTTGGTCTGTAGGATTGTTACGTATATAAATATAGACAGGCCAATATCATTGGGTCTATTTATTATCCGGATGACTGTAGATTTGTTAAGTATAATATAGGAGGGTCAATCTATTTATCATCGGGATGTCTGTAGGTTCAAGTATAATAGATGAGGGTCATTATTATTGAGCTTTATTTTTTATCAGGATGTCGGCAGGTTTTTCAAGTAGAATATAAAGCCACAAATATTGAGGACAATGATTCCGTCGGCCTGCCTATGATTCTATTTTAGGTTACCTATGATTCTGCTTTAGAATACCTATGATTTTGTTCTAGAGTGCGGTTAACCCTGTGATTCTGTTGTAGAAGAGCTACCTACGATTCTGTTTTAGCCTAAATATGATTATTTTTTAAGCTGCCTACAATTTTGTTGTAGAAATCTACCTATAGTTCAATTTTAGTCTACTTATAATTTTGTTGTAGTAGGCTATCTACTGTTTTGTTTTAAAAGCTAAACTTGATTCTGTTGTTATAAATATATTTTGGGCTGTCTGTGACTGTATTTCGACTACCTATGATTCTGCCATAGAATGCAATCTATAATTCAGATCGAACTGGCTACCTATGATTATAATTTAAAAGGCGGCATATGGCTCTATCTAAGAAGGCTACATATGATTTTGTTTTGAAATGCTGCCCGTGATATTGTTGTACAGGGCTTGTGTTAAAATTCTATATGTGATACTTTCATAAGCTACCTGTTATCCTGTTTTTGATAGGCTATCTATCACTCTGTTCTAGGCTACCAGCAACATATGGTTCTATTTTAGACTGCCTCTGATTTTGTTGTAAAAGGCTAAATCTGTTTTTAAAGGCGACCTATGATTATGTTGTTGAAGACTACCTACTTTTCTAATTTGGACTACCTATGATTTTGTTGGAAGAGGCTACTTATGAATCTATTCCAGAAGGCTATCTACGATTCCCTATGAGTTCGTTTTAGGCTACCATTGCTTTTGCTGTAGAAGGATAGCTATTAAAATGTTTAGAAAGGCTACCTATGTTTCTATTTTACTATCTATGATGCTGTTTTGAAGGCTGCATATGATTCTGTATTAAAAGGCTATATATGATTCTGTTTTGAGGGCTACCTAATATAATGTGTGAAAACGCTACCTATGATTCTGTTGTAAGCTACCTATGATCCTGTTTTGAAATTCTAAAATATGATCATATTTTAGAAGGCTACAAATGATTCGTTTGAAAAGCTACCTATGGTTCTGTTGTTGAAGACTGACTATGAATATATCTTAGATACCGTTGGCTCTGTTGTGGACATGATTTTGCTTTAAAAATCTACCTATGATTTTGCCTCTGATTTAGTTACAGAAGGCTACAACTGTTTTTATCCGCTACCTATAATTTTGTTTTGGAAGTCTACCTATTTTTCTATTTAAGGCTACCTATGTTTTTGCGTAGAAGGCTAATGATTTTGTTTTCGAAGACTACATACTGTCTCTTGTGAATTCGTTCAAGGCTATTCATAATTGTGTTGTAGTAGGATACCTAATAAAATGTTAAAAACACTACCAATGATTCTGTTTTAAACTACCCATGATTCCATATTAAACTATCTGTGATACTATTTTTAAAACTATCTATAATCTTGTTTTGAAAGGCTACATATGATCCTATTTTAAATGGCTATACATGATTCTGTTTTAAAGACTACCTACTGTAATGTTTAAGAACACTATCCATGATTTGGTTACCTATGATTTTAGGTTACCTATGACTTTGTTCTGTTGTGGAAGGCTAGACTACCCATTTTGTTTTGCTATATATGCTACCTATTATTTTGTTTTATTGCGCTACCTATAATCCTTTCGTAGGCTACCCAGAATTTTACTTCGAAGTTTTTGCTGTAGAAGGCTATTTATGAATCTGCTTTAAAAATAACGCTACCTGGGATTCTGTTTTAGAAGGCTACCTATGATTCTGTTTTATGCTACCCAAAATTTTCTTTTAGGCTTTCTATGATTTGATTGTGTAAGGCTACTTGAGATATTTTTAGGCTACCTATTATTCTGCTTAGGCTACCTATGAACAAGGGTATCTATGATTTAGTTCGAAAAGGCTACCGGTGAATCTATTTTTTTACAACGCTACATATGATTGTATTTGAAAACGCTAAATACCGATGCTTTTGTTGCTGTAAAGGAAAACTACTCCTTGTCTCTTTTTTTCTTTTAAATGCTATCAAAATTATGATGTATAGGGTTACTTATGATTACTTATGATTCTCATTGAAACAAACTCCATATGATTCCGTTTTAAAAGACTACCGATGATTATGCTTTAAAAGGCTATCTATGATTATGTTTGAAAGGCTAACTGTGAATCTGTTCCAGTAGGCCACATATGATTCTGTTTACAAGTGCTATATATTATTGTTTAAAAAGGCTATACATGATTCTTATAAGAGGTTATTTACCAATAATTGTTGTCTTAGAAAATACCTATGATTATGTTTTAAGAGACCTATGATTCTGTTTTTAAAAGCCAGCTATGATTTGTTTTAGTAGGATTTTCTTTTGAATCAAAGACTACATATAATTCTGTTTTCAAAGGCTACATATGATTTTGTTCCAAAGGCTACATATGATACTGTTTTTAAAGGAATACTATCTGACATTCTGTTGTAGAAGGCTTATTGTCTAATAATGCTTTTAGAAGGATATCTATATTTCTGTTTGGAGAAAGGATACAAATAATCATGCTGTAAAGGGCTACTTATGATTATACTTCAAAAGACTATCTACGATTCTGTCTGGAAAAGCTCCATATGATTCTGGTTTAAATACTACTCATGGTTCGTTTAAAAAGGCTACCTATGATTCTGTTCCAGTAGGCTACATATGATTCTGTTTAAAAGGGTTACATATATGGTTCTGTTTAAAAAGATTACACATGATTCTATTATAAAACGCTACCAATAATTGTTGTTTTAGAACCAAAATTATTATTAGGTTTTAAGCGACATATGATTATGTTTTAAAGACTACTTGTGGCTCGTTTCAAAAGGCTATCTATGATTATTTGTGTTGTTTTAATGTTTTATTAGACTTTTACGATACGACAATGTGACTACGGATCACACCGTGTGTATCTGACAAATGACTACAGCACTGGGTAGTGAATTTTTTTCTCTCCAGGGTTATCGAGTTGTACGTAAGGCACATAGCTCTTAGGTTAGTATTGGATTAATATATACATTAGAAGACACAGAGTCGTATGCAAATACGAGCTTGGTCTTGTCCTTCGACTAAGGTCAATTGGTCACGACGCTGATGATGCTTGCCTGTGAGGGGGACAGATGAAAAAGGGCGCGGTAGGGTGGGACGTGAGGAGAACAGATGATCAGAAGGATCATCTGTTCTTCACTTTATGTACCCTACTGTGTATAAAGTTCAGAGGAGTCATATGTACTGGAATGGCGAGAAATGAGTCATTCCAGAGAACATGATGACTCAAACATAAATCGCAATTGTAAAAATTATAGCATTTATGTTGTTGCACTTCCGACCACCGTAAGGTCCCCATTGAAGAAGCTGTCGTGATGAGTAGGAATTATTGCCCTGACATAGGAGTTCACTGATCCCTGTTTGATCTTTAGTATAGCACTGATAATTCGCTGGGGCGTATTGATTGCCAAGTCGCTGGCGACGAATCCACGTCGAAAGGAGTGGGAGATTAGTGGCGTTATCAATTGCTGTGGGATGCCTGCTGCCACAATCTGATACTTCAGATCCGCCCAGAAATGTATGCGTTGTGCCGTGGCGGTGAAAATGCCCTCCATCTCATCAGAGTCTACCGTGGACACTAGATTGCCACGGAAGTACTGTTGTCCTAAAAAGCGGAGAGTCTGTTGCAAGTGAGCTTGCAAGAAAGCAAAGACTTGAGGCTGGACTGGCCGCGCATGAGTTGCGAAAGTGTTTGTGCTGCGATTATGTCGTTTCCTACCGACGAGCGTTGTAAAAATTGTTGTGTACGATTCATTAAATGTCATACGAATCGGGCTGAAGTTGTTCATAGACGAGATCCTCGGTCCTACCAGGAAGAAGAACACTATCAAAGCATGCTAGTACACCGGGACCGCCGGACAAGAGTAAAGGGCCGATATCCAACCGGCATAAAATCTGGGGTAGTGGCGCGCCCGTCAAGAACAAGAATTGGCTTACATGCGGTCTTCAATTTGCCCCATATGGCCGTGGTCATCTCGTTCGGGTGTGTTGACTGTGAGCGGAGTATGATGCCCCACTTTAACATCGTGGCGCTGACTGTATGCGTCTGTGGCGGTTTCATATTCTGCACTTTCATGAGCTATAAGAGGTATTGAATAGCAGCGTCGCGTGTATCTGGGGGTGTGTCCCGTGATATACCGATCAGGGGTGCGATTCAACGAAATCGATAATCTCCGCTGTGTACTGCCTCGCTTTGCCATCTTTATTACCACTTACTGTGAACCAGTCGTGATAAGTAGATATGTTGAAAGTATCTAACTTGGAAGGGCGATTAGAACGGCCACGAATTGCCAAGGAGGAGCTTGCCTTCCGTGACGGATTGCTGCTTCCACCGGGTATTGGACGTCGCCCTGAGCCAACAGTCGGAGATTGACCACCATGGTGCGAAGATCCGGCCACCAAGGGGCTTTGAGCCATAACGGCGCTATCAATATTGCTGTTGCTGATTGTGCTCGAAGTTCCTGTAGTGTGTGTGCCACCATTGATTCTGGGGGTGTGAGCAGGTGCACCTCTTTGTTCCAGCGATGATGGTACGCATGTACTTGTGCCAGAGCTCCGTGGTGGGCCATTTGCTGGTAATAAGCGACCGGAAATAGATCCTTCGGCTGATGTTTGACAGTTGGTGCCCAATCCAAGTACAGCTGGAGAGCCACCGATTGTATTTTTATTGTATCAATTTCCCTGATCGGCTCAGTCGATCTGCTGCCGAGTTGAATGCTCCTGGGTAATAGGCAATGACTGCTGGCCATACGGCTTGTAGACGGTGGATTGTTGATGCCAGCGTCAACAAATCCTGATTCATGAGGTAACTGCCTGATTGGCGGCGTCGTAGCGCTGCCAGTGCAGTTGTGGAGTCTGCTAGCACTAAGATCGGCTGCTGTAGACTCAATTGCTGACGATTCCAAAAATGAAGTAGACAGCGGATGATGGCCCGCAATTCCAGTACTGAAATCGGTCAAGTTGCTTCTGTTGGAGACGAGCGCCAGGCATGTGTCCACGTTTGGCTGTGAATGGTCAGAGTGCCTTTCCCTCCCAATTTCGACGCACCTGTCGTTAGTGAGTGGTTGCGGGGAATTTGAATGAAGATCTCTCGAGGTTGATGATGTGTTAGTGCGTACACTAATTTCTCCAACTTTCGAAACGCTGAGCCTGATAGTCGAACTTTTGCATGCCACGGGTTGTTCTGACGGGCCTGAGTCGTTATCTTGGCTTGGCGTCGTAAATCCGCAAGATATGGGCGCGCTGTGGGTACGACGAAGGTTGCCCACTGCACGAGTTCTAGGTATCTCTGCCACTGTTTGAGTCCAATCCATCGCTGTTGGCTCAGAGTCCGTCGCTGTATGTTCGACGACGCAATCGTTAGTTTTGTGTGCAAACCCCGTGTCAGGCGAAATCGATCCAGTTCTAGATTTACGCTTACTCCTAGGTGGTCAGCTATCCGTACTGGTGTGAAAAAGCGACCCTTCTCCAGTGCCAGGCGTAAGTCTAACTTGAGTACCATTGTGTATATGAAGTTCCGGTGCTCGAGAATCAATTGTGCTGGGCTCAATATGATCAGATCGTCCGCGTACAGGAGGACCAACTTCCGGAAGATGTCCATCAGGCAATTGAAATAGTAAGGGCTGAAAGTTGCCCCCATCGGCAGGGCCAAATATTCGTACAGCTGACTTCGTGGTCCCCGTATTTGCCACTACTTTGGATCGCGGTTGCGGAGGGCGAAGAAACCATCCCGAAAATCCGTGGTCATCATATGATCGGTTGGTCTCGCTGTTGTGCTCAGCAACTCTAGTCCCTCCCATCTTGAATTTCGGTGTGTGTGAATAATTGTTGATAAGTGTTGGGCTGACTATTATGCGTGCTCGCTTCTGTAATTTCGCTAGGGCGAAACTGTCGTGCACGCAGAAAGCTTGACCTTCGCTGATACGGCGTAGAAACCCCAGTTTCTCTTGCCTGTCGTATTCTGCGACTGCTATTTCTTTGCTGACTTCGTGAATGTCTATGTATCGTCCCCGCTTGTTCGGTTTGGGCGGACCATCTGGCCCCCACAGGATTGGAACTCCATGGTGGATTCATTGTATGACCTTCTTAGGGGCACCAGCCCCCCTCCAGGCGGCGAGATTAGACCGAACAGACGCAAATAGAGGTGGTAATAGCTTAGCCTTGGTCGGTACGGGGCTATCGCACCCAGGCATGTATGGTTATATCTTGTGTAAAATATATTCTTATAATAAAATTCTGAGAAGGAGCTATTAACTATTTCTCGAACGGATTGATAATTATTTTGAACGGATTGAAATTCTCTTTATTGTCCTTGTTGGCACCGTTGCGTCCACCTACACTGTCTCTTTCCCTTCCTCGAGTGCGATCGTTCTGTACCGTGTTAGGTGCGTTCTGTGGAGGCCCATGCTTATTAGCGTGTTCGCGTCTAGTGTCAAATTGTCGATTTTGATGAGAAGCACCTCTGATGAGGTCAAATTCATTCTTCTTCTGTAGCACGGCTTTAAAAGTTTTGGCGTAGTCGCCCGTGATGTCATGTGCTGCTCGGTGCTTATTCTCGACGAGAGCAGCTACCGCCGCACCCTGCTTGATGCGGATCCACTTGACTTCGCAAATGTGTATGATGTCTGAAATTAATTTGCAGACAACCCCTTGGAGTGCTGAGAGCTGCTCTTCGGGGGTGGAGCAAGCAACCGCTGACTGATTCAAGCCTCGAAGAAGCCAATTGTAGTGTGTGATGTGATCGTTGAGTTCTCGCTGAACTGGCTCCGCCTCTCGTTCGTACCTAGCCTTTGCAAATGTGTATGATGTCTAAAATTAATTCGAAGACAACCCTTTGGAGTGCTGACAGCTGCCCTTCGGGGGTGGAGCAAGCAACCGCTGACTGATTCAAGCCCCGACGAAGCCAATTGTAGTGTGTGATGTGATGTGATCGTTGAGTTCTCGCTGAACTGACTCTGCCTCTCGTCCGTACCAACTAGGTGCGATGCAGGGGCGTGAACGCAAACCTTCTGGGAAATCGACGTTTTGACAGATAAACGAGGAGAAGAGCTCGATGGGCTCACCTGTGGACACCGGTGTTTTGGGTTCAACTTTGGTTTGGAACCATTGCGCAAATGCGCTATTGTTACTGATAGGGTGGGAAGTTCTATAGTTCATCAACAACGTTGGGTGGGAATAATCAGGTATCAAATAGCAAGTGTTAGCGAACGCTCCAAGAATGTTCGTTAGTGTCCGTAGGGCCGTGGTAGTCGGATCTTGCGCCAATAGTTCCAGTTGGTTAACCTGGACACCAAGTTGATTCTGCAGGGCTGTAATAGCCTCTTGCTGTTGTCGCAGAACTTGGCGTATTTCCTAGTCCGCCATATTACGATGTGATCTGCCGGAGGGATAGTAAAGTCTACTTTAACAATTGACGTGAGGAGAACAGATGATCAGAAGGATCTTCTGTTCTTCACTTTATATACCCTACTGTGTATAAAGTTTAGAGGAGTCATGTGAACTGGAATGACGAGAAATGAGTCATTCCAGAGAACATGATGACTCAAACATAAATCGCAATTGTAAAAATTGTAGCATTTTTGATAAGGCTATCTATATTTTTTGTTCTAGTAGGCTACATATGATTCTATATAAAAGGGCTATACATGGTTATTTTATAAACGCTACCAGAACGATAAATATGACTATGTTTTAAGCGATCTATGGTTCTGTTTTTAAAAGCCAGCCATGCGATTTCGTTTTAGAAGGCTATCTCTAATTCTTTGAATTTAAAGCTACATATAAAACTGTTTAGGAATGCTATCTGTCATTCTGTTGTAGAGAGCTGTACTGACATCGGTTCTGTATAAAAAGATGACTTATGATTTCATTTTAACCAGCTAGTTATAATTATTTTGTGGAAGTTACGTTAGGTATGATTCTATGTTAAAAGACTATCTATGATCATTTTTGAAAAGGCTACCTATATTTTTGTTCTAGTAGGCTACATATGATTCTGTATAAAGGGCTATATACCAGAACGATAAATATGATTATGTTTTAAGCGATCTATGATCCGGGTTTCAAAAGCCAGCTATGAGATTTCGTTTTAGAAGGCTATCTATAACTCTTTGAATCAAAGGCTACATATGCTACTGTTTAAGAATGCTATCTGTCATTCTGTTGTAGAGGGCTGTACAAACATTGGTACTGTATAGAAAGATGACACATGATTCTGTTTTAACCAGCTACTTATGATTCTGTTGTACTAGTTAATTTGGTTTAAGAGGCTATTATAACATATCAATAGCTATTAAAACATATTAATAGATATTGAAACGTATTAATTTGTTTTAGAAGGCTATGTATTAATTCCTTTTACGATATCTAAGTTTCTGTTTCAAGAAAAAGGCTACCGATAATTATATTGTAGAGAGCCCCTTACGATTCTGTTTCAAAAGGCTTTCTACGATGCTGTTTGAAAAGACTACATATCATTCTGGTTTAAAAGGCAACATACGATTATGCTGTACATCGCTACCTATGATTCTGCTTTAGGCTATTTAAGAATAGGTTTTATAAGGTCTCGTAAGATTTGATTCAAATTTCTCCCTATGGCTATGTTGTAGAAGAATACCTATGATTCTTTCATCGAAGGCTACATATGAATAAGTTTCAAAAGGCTGCCTATGGTTCTGTGGTAGAAGATTACTTATGAATCGGTTTTCAAAGGCCACCTATGGTCTTTTAAATTAATGGCTATCTATGATTCTGCTTCAGAAGGCTACATACAATGCTGTTTAAGAAGGCTATATGTGATTTTGTTGTAGAGGGCTAACTTTGACTCTGTTTAAAATGGCATCTTATGATTCTTTTTTAAATCTGTTGTTAGAATTATGTTAGCAATAATTCTATTCTATTTAAAAGATTATCCATCATCCTGTTAAAACAAAAGGAGAACTATGATTCTGATTTTAAAGGCTACACATGACTCTGCCACAGAAGGCTGCATAATACTTTGTTTAGAAGGTTATCTATGATTTTATTTTAAAGAAGGCTACCAATAATTATGTTCCGGATAGTTACTTATGATGCTGTTTCAAAAGATTATCGATGACTGTTTCAAAAGACTCTATACGATTCTGCTTTAAAAGATTACATATGATTCTGTTTAAATTGTGCTACTTGTGGTTATTTTATGGTTACCTATGATTCTAGTATCAAAGGGTACATCTGGTTCTGTTCAAGAATGCTACCTATGGATCTGTTACAGAATATTACTTACGCTACCCATGATTCTGTTTTAAAAGGAGGCAACCTATATTCTGTTGTTAAAGATTGCATATGAATCTGGGTTGAAAAGTTATCTATGATCTGTATCAAAAGCCTATCTATGATTCTGTTTGAAAAGGCTACATATGATCATATTTTAAGAAGGCTACATATAATTCTGTTATAGAAGGGTACTTGTATTTATAAATTAAAGCTCTCTATAATTCTGGGTTGAAAGGCTATCTATGTTTTCGTTTCAAAAGACGTTTTATGATTCCATTATGCAATACTATTATGTTGTTTTAAAAGGCTACCTGTGTGTATGTTTTGAAAAAGCTACCTGTGATTATGGCGTAAAAGGTCACGTATGATTTTGTTTTAAAACGCTATCTGTGATTTTGTCTTAGGCTATCCATGATTTTGTTTTTTAAGGCCAGGTACGATCCTGATTTAGGTGACTTATGCTTCTCTTTTCTATGAAAGCTACCTACGATACTGTTTTAGAAGTCTACCAACATAGTATTCTGTTGTAGAAGCCTACGTATGGTTCTGTTTTAGCACGATATATGGCTACGCGTAGCTCTGTTTAAATGGGGTTTCTAAAATCCCTCTTACTGAGGAAGCTATGTATGAAACTGTTGTGATATGCTACCTATGATTTTTTTTTGAAAGGCTACCTATGGTTCTCATTAGAAGGCCACCTATGATGCTACTTATGCTTCTGTTTTGGAAGATTACCTATAAATCCGGGTTAAAAAGCTACCTACGATTCTGTTGCAAAAGGATATCTTAATACTTTTTTTAAAAGTCTACCTATAAGTTATTTCAAAAGGCTCAATATGGATAGGCTTTAAAAGACTACTTATGAATTTGGTTTAAAAGGCTACCTATGATTCTGCTTCAAAAAGATACGTACGATTCTCTTGTAGAAGCCTACGTATGATTCTGGCTGAAAAGGGTTTCTATGATTCCTTTTTAAAAGGCTAGCTATGATTATGTTCAAAAAGACCATCTTAGATTCTGTTTTGTAAGGCTACCTATGTCAGATTTAAAGGGCCACCTATTATTGTTATAAAAGTCTACCTATGATTCTTTCTAGGAAAGCTACCTATGTGATTCTGTTTAAGAAGGTTATCTATGATTTTTTTTTTAGAATGCTTCATACGAATCTATTTTGGAAAGCTACTTTAATAAAATCTGTTTCGAAAGGTTACCTATGATTCTGTTTAAGAAGGCTACATAAGATTCTGTAGAATATTAGCCATGAATATGTTATAAAAGGTGATTTATGAATTCTGTTGCATCAAAGGCTATTTATGACTCTTTTCTAAAACAGAGTACCTAAAATTTGTCTTAGAAGGTGACATATGATTCTAATTTAGCAGCATACCCATGGCTCTCTTTCAAAAGGTTGCCTATAATTCTGCTTCGGAAGGCGATCTGTGAATCTATTTCAAAAAGCTACTTATGGTTCTATTTAAAAGGGCTACCAATGATTCTGTTGAGTACGATTATCCATGAATTTGTTGTAAAAGCTTAGCTATGATTTCTGTTGTAGCAAACTAACCTTGACTATTTACGATATTGTTTTAAAATGCTCCCTGTGATTCTGTTGTAAAAGGATACATTTAATTCTGATTAAGAAAGCTACCTTTTATCATGTTTTTCAATGTTAATATTATGTTTTAGGCTACCAATAATTCCGTGTTCAAAGGCTGCATAGGATTCTATTTTGAGACGCTACTTTTGA